CAAGGGTTTTTTTTTTACTCTGTAGGCTGTGGCTACAGAGTAGGCCTCATTCCCACTTGCCAATTGCAGTTACAAAACATGCAAAAAGCACACATCACGCTTGCAGTGCCATTATTGTTAAAGCACCCCCAAAACATATGTCTCAGCGCCACAACAAGCGGCAAAGACGTCGTCGAAAACCACACAAAGCTCACAGCTCATACTGTTGCATGAGCTTTTTGCTGCATTTGTAGCGCGTAGAGCAGCCCACTGAAACGAATGGGCTGCCCTATGCAGATATGCAAAAACACTACACATGCGTAGCAAACGTTATTGGGGGGAGGGGCTTAAAGTGACATTAAACCCTCAGATTTTTTAACATAAAACAATACTGTAATCCATGGTTGTTTCCCTTCTCTTTGCTGCTCTTCCTTTTAAATCTGTATCTGTTCTCATGCTCTGCAGAACTTCTGTTTTGCAGCAGGCTGCCTTGTCTCTGGAATGGATACACGGTGTCTGTGTGTAGGTTTCTATAGGCTTGAAACCTGAGCCAGCACTACAGGAAGAGGCCCTGAGCTGAAAAGGGAAGTTCTCCCCCAGCATGAGAAGACATGAGGATTTAAAAGGAAGAGCAGCAAAGAGAAGGGAAACAACCATGGATTACAGTAAGGCACACATTACAGTATTGGTTTATGTTAAAAAATCTGAGGGTTTAAAAAAAAAAAAAAAAAAACAAAGTGGAGGATTTTGCATCTGAAATGCATGTAACTTATTTAATTTAGGTAAAAAGTGAAATTGGGCTTTCAATCTGTGCAAGTAAACATGGTATCAAACCAGAACCCCTGTGTACTTATTACAGTTTATACATTACTTATTGCTACAAACCCAGGGAACCTACAGTTCTCCAGCTGCTGCAGAACTGAAAGTCCCAGCAAGACACAGACTGGCAAGGCATGCTGGACCTTGTAGTGTCCACTGTCAAAGGGATAGACAGTATAACAGCAACTATACATCAGTAATAAGCAGTTTATTATTGATTGGTGACATAAACGCAACACACTAAAATAATGTAATGAGTAGCAGGGATTTGCAGGTAAAGGTGAGAAACTTTACCTGTAGATATCGCGCCTTGCAGGGGCTCTGTCAGTATATATTATACGTCTCAGTGTAGCGGACATGCTTCTGGAGCCGGTACCTGCCTGTATATTCTTCAGCCTATAGCTCCAGAGCAAAATGTAACCTTTGATTCTTATTGACGTACAATTTTAGCCAGTCAGAGGGCTGTAGCTGTTATCTTGGTCCCTTTCCAACTGGCGCCACAAAGTCCTGCTTAAAGGAAACATGTGAAAAAAAAAAAAAAAAAAAAAAAAAAAAAAGGGAAATACTGTTGCTGACTTGTTTTTAAAAGGTACAGGCCCCAGGGCTGTTCTGATCTTGGCTACTTTACCCATTCAAATCGATGGCTAGGAAAAAGTATAACTTATGGGAGCTAAAACTTCAGTGGCTATTTGATTGTTCCAGGTATAGATTCACTAGGCAGAGAAGCCAGCATCAGGATGATACCAGAGGAGCCTGTACCTGTAAAACAAGTCAGCATCAGCAGCTCCCGTATTGCTATCCTCAAAGGTTCAGGCCATCCCAAATGTTAGTCAGGAAATCACTGCTACTAGTTAGTTTGGGTGTAGAGTTGAATCATTTAATACCATCCTATCTTTTAGTGGTTCCAATAGCAACATCTCTCCATGTGAATTACCACCGCCCACATCTTACAACAACCATGAGACACTTGCAGAGGCTGCAGCAAAATAAGTAAGACAGTACTAAGGTTCATTTCGGAGAGTTGCAAAGACTTGATCTATGGAGGTACCAAACTCTGGTGTCCTCAAGACAAGTGAGGAGCTAGTGGGCAATCTGGATTACCAACAACCATCTAGAACTGGAAAATCAAAGTTGGTTGAAGTTAAGATGGACCTGGTTCCTGGTCCCTGCTGTCCTGTCCTAACGGATAAGAAAAGTTAAGTGCTCCCGGACTCCCTCCAGTTGCTGTGGCAATGCTCGGTCACCAACAAAGACAGCTATGCAAGAATAGTGACGCTCTCAATGCCACTTTTTTCATTTCTGTACACCACAGGGCAGGCCTGCAGATAGGTTTGCCGAAACTGCCTTAGGGAATGGAGCCAGGGGATATTAATAACCTCTAAAGAAGGGGTCATGGCAGAGGTGGAGGGGTTTCTATAAGGGTAGGTGGCAAAAAGCAGGTAAAAACCGGTGGTTGATCCGCATTTTTACCACCCCCAACTGCACGCCTACAAATTATCATACCATAGCAGCCACTCGTGTCCGTATACATTGCTGTGGCGCTTTCTGGTAATGGAAATTTAAGGTGGCGTGGTATGTAGGAGATGCCACTTGCTAGGCAAGCCCATTGAAGTCCCCCTGGGATTGAAAGTAAAAAAAGGGCATTCAGGAGGTGGCATTACTGCCTCCTAAATGCCGCTCAACCACCTCTGAAAAGCAAACCACCATAGATTGCTTTCTAGTCCACCGCAAGAGCTACAAAACACACATCTTATGCTGTCAGGCGCCACCCAACACCTGCAGCTCTGAGTTTATATCCGGTGAGATAGTCCCAGGTGTTGTTTAATCCTTTAACAGGATTACTATATCCACTCACACACCTCTGTTTATCATCGCATAACTGCCCGTCATCATTCAAGCAGAAATAAACCTAAAAATGAAAAGATTCACATCCCCAGAAATGGCTCTAAAACAAAAAGAAAATGCAAGTCTATACATGAAAATCTGATATTGTCAACATTAGCACCAGAGAGATCCCCTGCACTTCCCGATCACAAGCAGACTAGGCAGCTCACAGCCTTCTAGGTGCATTCTGGGAGATTTGTGGTATTAGACTAACCAGTTCAGCCCTTCCAGGTTGAAGGATTTCCAGTATTATCCCAACCCACAGCTTTAGAGCCCAGACAGTCATGTACTGTACATATAGGACCCATTGCACTTCTGACCGATATAAACCCATAGCCCAAGGGTGGGTGCTGCAGTGGACTGTGCCGCAAGCAATTAGTAGTAGAAGTCACCGGCACTCCACTATTTGCTCTACTATCCAAGATGGACCAATCCATCTTTATTGATATTGGAAGGTCATTTCAGCAAAAACAACATTTGGGAACCGTGTTGGTTCCTTTATTAGGCATACAAAGTGATTAGTTTGCATGATGAAGGAACCGACACAGTTCCAAAACATTGCTTTTTATGGTGAGCTTTTCAAGGTCAATAAAGATGGATTACAAATACTGGAGTGCTGGTGACTTCTACTACCCAGACCATCATGGACACACCTGGCCTGGGTTCACAGTACTGCGCTAAATGGTGCTTAGTCACTCATAATGTGAATGCCACGCTGTCCAAGGACTGCTCATGACTTGACAGGAATCGTGACTTGACGTGACCATTCAGAATACTGCAAGGTTTATCACCCATTTACTACATGCAATTAATGGAATGCCAATGCACCACAATGTGCCAAAAAAAAGCAGAGGCAACCCCCCTTTTTTGCACTACTGTGCTTCTTGGCATGCTGCAGTGCAGGTGCGTTGCCTTAAATCACCGGGGTCTCATTCAAAATTAAAGCTACTGCAGTCAAGTGACATACATAGCGTGCATTACTGCTAGTTACCACAACACATGGTGTTAATGGCCCATTAAGGTATGTATTAAAGGGATTTCAAAAAATATTTCTTAATCTGCTGGCTCCTGGATTGGGCAGACTGGCAACTGAATTTTAAATAGATTTTTTCCACCCCTGCCATAAGATGCATTAGCAAGTCATGTGCCCAACTGCAGAATCCTCCCTGTGGGTGCCCCATTTATATATTCTCTAATTACAAAATGACAGCCCTTCAAAGCTACTGCAGCTTTACTTTATTGTTGTAATGATTTATCTTGAGAATTAAAATGAACACACACTTTTTTCATGAGCCGACGACTAGAAACTATCGATCTGGCAGATTTCAGTCTTCAGACCTGCTGGTTGGCTGCTCCTCTGGGGAAATGGTGGTCAGTTGGTTGTTTCTGTGAACTGGCTGACAAGCCGGCACCGGAAGCCTCCTCTGCACTGCCTCTCACTGCTCCCCCAAAGTCAACCCGTCAGCTTGGCACCTCTAAACATGAGATCTCCCCATAGCCGCCATTTTTTGGCAACAATCACCTCATGTCAACAAAAGGTTTATACAAAAGTATTTGCTTAGGCTTAAACAGCTAAACATTCTAAGCAAGACACATTACCAGCTACATTCAATGGGGCTGATATATATAAAGGGTGCTATGGAAAACATTTTGCCCATAGCGACCTTGCAACTGTAGTCCAGGTTTGAAAATAAAGAAAGGATTCCAACACGCACACGTTGCTCTTGGCAACAAGAAACGTTCTTCATAAGGATCATAATCCAGGCCGGCTTGGTTCAGTAAACATCAGATGCATGTAAGACACTGAATTACCAAAGTGTACACAGAATCTGGGAAATATTGATCTTAGAATAAAGAGACCCCATCAGCTATTGGAAAAAGTCAAACTAGCAGTACCCTGTAGAAAGATATTATTCTCGTCTCCTGCTTCCGT